CCCCAAAACCCCAAAACCCCAAAACCCCAGGGATAATATTATTAATGAAAAGAGGTGGTTAACTAAATAAATTTATTTTGTATTTAAATAGTAAGAGTAGTTAATGAGCAGTGCTTAAGATATGCGAAGACAACCAGGCTAAGACAAGGCCATGAAGAAAGCCCCAGCTAATTTTGAAGAGGATGATGATAACATTGGGGATGTAGAGGAAAATGCCATGAATAGAGGAGGCAGAGGTGGCAACACTGGAAACTATCAAACCGCAGATACCTAAAACAGAGGAATGCAAATCGATCAAAGAGGAACTCAACGTAAAAGAAGACCCAGCTCAGGTAAAACCAATAATTTAAATTTTATATCGTTTATTTAGGCAAGAGAAAAAGTAAGAATCACTTAAAAATTGAGTTTTGAACTGTGATGCTTATTGGTTTTTATAGGATCAGCTGGTAAAAAGGGAAATCAAATGGCAAACAAGAGTTACGCATCTAGTGAAATAGGCGGTGATGAATCCCATCACCATTAGGATCCAGAGAATTCAAAGGACTTTAACTCTGCATACCAAAAGGTAATCTATCCTTATGCACTCTATATTCCTTCGTCAACATATCTGGATTGATTCTAATTTATTGATTTAGTTAGTTGAGAAAATTTATCAGGAATAAGGCAACACTTTACTCATTTCACAAGATGAAGTTTTCAAATTGGAACATAGTGTAATAAAATTTAACTTTTTACAATGGATTCTAGAAAAACTTGAGTCTAGACGATTTCCGTGCCAGACAAGAGGAGTACATGAGTTAGAAGCAAAGAAAACTGGATGAGAAATTAGACTAAGTAAAGGACAAAGACTTAGAGGGCTGTACCTTCGCTCCTTAGCTAGTCACTTCACAAGACACTAGCCAAAGAAGAAATCTTGATTAATTCTTATAAGACCAGTAAAAATTCATAGAAAAAGTAAATAAGAAAGTCCACGATATCAAAGAGTCTACTGTGCACGAAGAGATCTCAATCATGCACCCAACAATAGATGAGACTTCCAAAAGAATCGTCGAAGAAAAATTCGCTGATCGTAAGTCAAAGGCAACACATGAAAGACTTTACGATTTAAACAAGGAAAGGCAGTTAAAATTGAAAATAAAGCAGGACGAGGAAAGAGATAAATTCAAGCTTCAGAGTGTAGAGCATATGAACAGCGTTCAATCTACCTCTAGAAGGGAAAGAGACAAGCCCCTAGATCAGACACTCTATGAGGATGCTGAGAGAAGAAGAAACGATCATGTTAAACTTAAGCAAGAAGCTGATAGGATGAGAGATAAGCCTAAACAAGAAAGATTCCATAACGAAAATAGCGATAAATATGTCATTAATAGATTCTATAGAGAAATTGATCTCATTGAGCAAGATTATTAATTACAAGCATAAAATAGACCACCTATTACTGATGAAGAAGAAGATGGAGAGGGAGGCATTAACTTCCACAAGCTAATCTAGATTTTGCACATGCTAGGATTCTTGCCAAATACTGAGCAGGCACATGCTATCGATCAATAGCTATGCCAAGATCTTTGGGCTCTAGTAAGAGGCGATTCTAGAAATGGCGTTACCTTCGATACACTTAGAGTCGTTTTTCTGAACTTTATTGGTGTAAAGACTCTAGACAGAGAGGGAGATGCCCCTGAGGAAGAGAATGAAAATAATGGGGAAGAAGCAGCTGATAGACCTAATGAAGAAATAACTAAGTTAGGATTTTTCCAGGAAGGCTAATTCTTTTTGAGAAGGGGAGTTCACCAAACGTTGTTCACTCATTTCAAGAATTTCTATATCCATAGAGTCTAATTTGTAGGCAGTGTTTAAAGAAGACCAACCACCTACTAACCAATTAGTGAGTAAAACGCTGAAAAGAAGCCATACATTTCAAATAAATCATCAAAAATGGCTGATAACAAAAGAAAGAAGTTACTAGGAGACAGAGAAAATGTCAACCTTGTTGAGATTTTACTAATTCCCAAGCATAATGAATCATATCTCGAGGAGCAAAGAAAGCAACTCAAGGATAGAGAGGTTGAAGGCTGCACTTTTGCACCAAAAACTCTCGACTATCAAATGACTTCGCAAAGAGAAACACACGGAGACAAGTGCATTGATCTCTACTCATCTAAGCCAAGGGGATGGTTCAAGGAAAAAGAATTTAAAACAGCTGAGGCTTATGACTTTGAAAAGAGTAAGGAGGTTTGCACCTTCAGACCACAAATCAATGATCCATCTGCTCTTGCCAGTCTGAATGATGATCAAAATATTGATTAAATTAGAGGAGTCGACAAGGTCTTCGATAGAATGACCAAGGCAAGACAAGATAAGATGTAGAAAAAGCTTATGACAGAGAGAGGTATGCCCAATCAATTGATTGCCGCTCTTGGAAAGCCAGAGCCTTCAATGAGCTTCTCTTCAAATAAGAGCAAGTTCAAGTCTGCATTCGGAGTTGATGGATCTCAAATATAACCTAAAAAGAGAAACCTCAATGAATCTCAGAGAATTGAAAGAAGCTAAATGAGTAATAGACCAATAGCATAACCAAAGAGAAATCCACCTCCTAGACAGCAACAAATCGAGTAGCCTAAACCCTAAGTCCAATAAAAGAAGCCTCAGACTTCTCAACAACAAAGAAATAATCCACAGTACTCAAACGAAGAGCCTGTTAATATCAAGGGTTAAAACTAGCAAGATAGATACCAATACGAAGAAGAAGATCAGCCTTAATATGAAAGAGAAGGTATGAACGAAACTGATTATGACGGTCAACAATACTAGAATGATGACAGTGATCAGCAAAGTCCAGTAAAAAGTTAAAATGGTAATTTTACCTTATTTCTAACCCTTTAATAGACAGAGAGCCGATGCTTTACGTCGATGTAAACCTTGGAAACAGTGGAACCTAAAGAATTGTAGTTTTTGAAGGAGACACAGCTGAAGGTCTCGCTGAGAAGTTCTCAGTTGAATATAACCTTGATGCTTCTATGAAAGAAAAACTTACATAGATGCTTCAAACTCAAATTGCAGGAGTTTTGGAAAAGATTGATGAGGAGCAAGTCTCAAACAATTCTGATCAGCCTAACCAAGATTGAGATGGATACTATCAATCGTAAAATCCTATTATTTTCTGAGCTAAATTATGTCAAATAATCTACTAGCTCAGATTTGACGCATTAAATCATTTTCAGAAATATTCATAATTTAAGAATATCCACTCTCATGGGGTTTTGGGGTTTTGGGGTTTTGGGGTTTTGGGG